CCCAGCCAATCCCCAAGCCTGGCTACCTTGGAAAAATTCTCCCTCATTTTATTGCAGGAGGCCTTGACACCGCGTCAGCGCTGTTCTGCAACAGCTGAACCATCCGGGTGTTACCAAGTTCTGGTCACGGACCTAACACGCAGCACCACGAGGGCTGCCATGAAGAAACGACTCCAGCCCGGCCAGACCCAGACCACAGGTCAGGCAGATGAGGGGTCCATCCCCACCACCCTGCTACCTCCAATGCCAGCTGCAGATGGGAGAGTTCCCCAGCTGCCTGTGGCCTCCAGCCTCCTCCTGGCTCTAGAAGCTCCTGAGCTGTAACGCTGCATCTTTGCATTTGAAAGCCAGTAAGATTTTTCTTCTTTCAAGTTTTCTAGTTGCTCTTTTGAACCCTACAACATCAACAAGTTCTATCACACACTGCACGAAGGACCAACACACGTTTTGGATGTCCCTCTAGTAACAGCCCTGACCCGCAACATGCTCCAGCAGCAGTTTCATGTAGAACCTGTTCCCAATATTCCGCGTCTCTTTCCTTTGCTGTTTTCGAAGCCCTTTGCTCCGTCCCCACATACTCAACGCTGTGAGATGACTGCTGAGGTCTGTGCTAGCCAGGGCCATCTCTCCCCGGCTTTTTCTGGCCAAGGTGAGGGTACCTACAAGCTGCACCATGACTGAACCTGAAGCCACTGGCACATCTCCGTCCCCTTTGGGCAGCAGAGCAAAGGGCTGGTGTCTTGGGAAGCTCCTGCCTGCCAGACAATCTGCGCAGCAGGACCAGGATGCTGAGGAGCTTGTGCCCAACATGGAGCCTCTCCTTCCTGTTCTAGGGCAAGTTTCTGGCCTTCCAAACCAGCATGTTCAGACAGTGTGATCACCCGATTCCAAGGTGAGCAATCACTTGTTGGGAGATCTTCCCAGCAGCCGGGCACAAACAAGACTTGCAGTCAGATGGTTTCCAAGGATCAGCTGCCAGACTGCTCACTGGCTGTTCTGAAGCTGGACCTGCTTCCTAGGAGCCACGTCCTAAGCAATTCACGCTTCCTCCCTGACACACTTTGCCCTGCACGCCTGCCCAGAGAAGCAGGGGGAGGTCGGACTCCCGCATCCCGCAGGTTTTGCGGAGCACCAGCACCATCTGCTGGGCACGGGGCATCTGCGGGGCACGCCAGCAACGCTGGCAGGGATCCCCTGCCACCCCACCGTCCCGAATCCCAGGAGGCACAGAGAGGTGGGCAGCCCACAACCCCAACCAAGGCACAGAGCCACAAGAGCTTCAGCAAGGGCAGAGCTCAGCCCTGAAAGGTGCCCCGCGTGGATGTTGAGCCCCAAGAGTCAGTTAAAGGTCTCTTGAAAGCCGGCCCAGGAGCCAGAGCAGGCATTCTGTCCTTGAGAAGAACTGCTCTCAGAGGTGAGAGCGCAGGTCCAGCACACTCCTACCCCACGCACTCGCTCCACCCAGGAGGCTGCTGGCGGGCGTTCAGGCATCGCTCCCGCAGCAATTCCCTCCCACGGCTCGTAGCCCTGAGCGAAGCTCTGTGCAGGCCTCACCAGGGCTGTCCAGCCCTCAGCAGGGGACAGCTGCCACTGCCTGCAGGGCACCTGTCTCAAGGAGCTTGGTTGGCTGCCAAGGCCACAGGCATGTCCTGGGGACCAGCTGAAGCAAGGGCAGCAGGTGGCCCTTCTGTCAGACCCAAGCAGGTTGTCGGTCCGCAGTCCTCTTTGCTGACCGGAGCGCTCCTTGAGAGGCAGAGGTAACAACAGCCTTCCCCAGCCACAGCCATGAGGGTGAAGAGTCTCAGGCACACAAGTCATCCTCTTCCCACTTGCCAGTGCTGTACTGGTCAGCACCATGACGACTTCTCTCCAGCACCCAGCAGCCTCCCACCACCCTCTCTGGGTGGCGGCCACGCAGTGTGTGCCAGCACAGCCTGCTCTCCTACCTGTCTCAGAGGTAACAACAGCCTTCCCCAGCCACAGCCATGAGGGTGAAGAGTCTCAGGCACACAAGTCATCCTCTTCCCACTTGCCAGTGCTGTACTGGTCAGCACCATGACGACTTCTCTCCAGCACCCAGCAGCCTCCCACCACCCTCTCTGGGGGGCGGCCACGCAGTGTGTGCCAGCACAGCCTGCTCTCCTACCTGTCTGCCTCCTTCCCGCAGTCGATTCTACTGCGGGCAAACTTGCCACTTCTTATTCTGAAAGTCCCATGTTCTAGACCTGCTTCTGCACACAGCAGCTCACCTGGTAGACCCCTCCTCCCAGAGGATACAACTGTTTCACCACAACTTTCGGTCGGTACGTTGCGTATCTGTTAATTACACAATATTTCTGGTGGCTCCTCCTTCATGCTGTGCTGCAAAGGCTCTTTACTGAATTCCCCTCAGTGCCAATCACAGACTGATCTCGCACTCCAGGGGGTAGGTTCAGGCACTTTTTATCTGCTTGCAGATTCTGCCACAAGTGTAGAAACTTGCAAGCTTCTAATTTACCTCTGTCACAGCCTGGAGTCTAACCACAACACGAGCACAAAGAGATCTGACAGTCAATGCTTAAGCTGTGAAGACAATCCTCCCAAAAACAGGCACCTGCAGTCAGTCTGGAAGACCCCGTCACACGGGCACCGTGCCCCGACAAGACTGGCCTGCTGGTCCCCGACCTCGGAACACGTACCTCGGTGTCAGGGTCAGCATCATCACCCCTATGTAACGGCGCTTTGTCTCTGTGTTGCCAAACCAAGAGCCTGTGGAAGGAAAGGACACGGAATGACGAGGCTGAACACAGCGCTGGGCTGAGCCAGCTGAGTCACAAAGCCCACACGCCTCAGGGCAGACATCCCACCCAGGGAGTCATTCTGATTCCCTACCAACAGCTTAGCCAAGTTCCATTTACCAGTTAGAGCTTTACAGCTATGGCAGACTTTACTTCCCTGGTCTGAGTTGTCATTTTTTGGACTGAGAATATCACTCCACAGTGTCAACACGTGGAGTGATATTCTCCAGACAGCAAGAGTCTGCACTAAATAAATTACCACAAACACAAAGGAACAAAACCAGGCAATGTTCTACTGGACTAAATTAACTACCTGTCCCTTACGAGGCAGATGAATCCTGCACCTGTGTTTCCATTAGCACACACAACGCTAAGCAGCCCCCAGTTTCCAGGTCATCCTTTCCCTTTCTGAACACCAACAAACAGCCCACTGATTTTCCCATATGTTGAGATCTAATGAAAAGTAGCAACGGCTGAAAAAAAAAAAAAATCCTGACCTGCCCCTGGGGACTGACGTGCAAGCTACTGGAGACACTCTGAAAGCCTTTACCTGCAGCAGATGCACACCAGCATCCTCCCTGCAGTCCGTCAGGCCGCTAAGGGCAGGGAAGCAGCAGCACAGCTTTCCCATGCCGAGGCGAGTTTTGGGCCAGATGGGAGAACCTTCTTATCCCCAAAGACTCTTTCTCCCGCTCTGCTTGCCCTTCTCTCAAAAGAACCCAGAGCCCAGCTCTGCCAGAGATCCCCTCTTTCGTCCTCCTCCTCCTGGCCTCCTTCCCCCAGCACCCGAGCAGGAAGCACCCAACTCACTTTTGCGCTGCTCCTCCTTTTGCAGGAACTTCCGCAGCCGGTCTGAGGGGATGGCGAAAGAGATGCCTGACGTCACCTTCATAGTGTTCACCCCAATCACTTCGCCATCCTGCGGGGAAAAGGGCACCGTGCTACCCAACCTGCATCGTTGTGGAGAGGAGGGGAACTACTGTGCGTCCCCCGAGTCCCGGCAGTGTGCCCAACCCTTCCCAGCTTGCCGCTTCCGCCGAGGCCGGGCAGGGACCGGTCCCACGGGCTGCAGCCTCTCCCTCTGCCCTGCTGGCATCGGCCCAGTGGCCTCGCCCGGGCTGCCATGCCAGAGTCCCATCGGCTCAGGCTCCCTGAAGCTGACGCTGCACAGGGCTCCCCGACCAGGCTGATCCCCTGCTCCTCCTCACAAGGAGCCTGGAGCACACACAGTCCCTCCCTCCCAGCCGCTGTGGCACCCGCAAGTGCTCCCACTGAGCGGCACCGAGCCTCGGCGGGCACAGACCGCAGGGCACACGGCACATCTCTGCCCTGGCAGAACTTACCAAGTTGACAAGGGGGCCCCCGGAGTTCCCAAACTGCAGCAGAGGAGAAAGCAGTGAACAGGCCATGAAAGCGACATCCTCGCACAGCAGGACCCGTGGCACGGAGGCAGAGTCCGGGGAACAGGGTCAGGCCAAGAAACGCAGCCAGCGCCTGGGTGACTGGCCAGAATCCCTTCGTCTCCCAGTGCTCTGTGTCTGACCTCCTCCGACCTCATGGCACCCACAGCCCTTCCCCAGCTCCCCCCTCCCCAAAGAGGGCAGCCAGGATGAGGTGCCAACCCGCTGTGCACCACAAGCTCCCCTTACATCAATAGCAGCATCAGTCTGGATGTACTCCATGTCAGAGGCGGTCAGGCCCAGCTCCCGGCTGCCCCGCTGGGCAGAGCTGACGATGCCGGAGGTGATGGGGTTCTGCAGGGCGAACGGGCTGCCCATGGCCACCACGAACTCTCCCTGCCGCACCTCGGAGGAGCGCCCAAGGGGCAGGGTGGGCAGCGGGTGCTGGAAGGGAGGAGGACGGTGAGCGGACGGGAGGGAATGAAGGGAGAGTTTCCACAAGCACCGTGCACACCTTAGGCTTGATCTTGATGGTAGCGATGTCTGCAACCTGGTCCACGTCCTGCACCACAGCGTCATACTGCTCACCACTGGCCAGCTTCACCCGCACGCGCCGCCGGTTTGCCACCACGTGTGCGTTGGTCACAATGAGCCCATCCGGAGACACCAGGAAACCCGAGCCGTTAGAGATTGGCACGTCACGGCCCGAAAAGGGATGCCTGCAAGGTGGGCACAGATCAGGGACTGGTGGCAGGGACTCCGAGGGGACCGAGAAGAGGGGGGGGCAGGGGCCAGGAAGACTGGGTGGCCCAGACGGGTAGGCCTGGAAAGAAGTGGGGGATAGTGAGGATGTCCAGGGAACAGCACTATGAGGGAGACTCCTTCACTTTCCCATGAAAGATCTTAAGTCCATACAAACAGGTGTGCCACAGGGGAACAAGCAGGAAGAATCAGGAGTCCACGCACAACCGCCACGGCACGATACTGCAGAGGCACAGTGGGACGGTTACGCACGTGGAGAGCTGCAACGGATGGCGCAGGCTCTTCGGGAAAGAGAGGCAAGGAGCAGAGGTCATGATCTGCACAAAGTAGCCCGAACATGCAGAGCCTTGCCTCCACTTGGGAGGAGATGGTACATCCTCTTTGGACAGCCAGAGGAAGACTCAGGATTGCAGGCCCTGGTCGCTGCGGGGGATGCCCATCACCCTGACCTCTGCGGGAAGGCCTGGTGCCGAGTGAGGCAAGGCACCTGGTGCTGCAGACACAGAAAGGGCTGAGGTGCTCAGCACCTTTTTGCCTGGTTCCTTGGGCCTCCCAAGTCCCCGTGCCCAGAGGCAGTCTGTGGGAACGCAGCACGGCACAGAAGATCAAGGGAGAGATTGCCGAAGCCACCTGGACACGCACCAGCCGGGATACATACAAAGGGGACGGCTGATGTCCCCGTGAGTGCCCAAATGTCACGGTGGTAAAGAGGGGCTCCTGACGGCTGGAAAAAGGCAAACGTCACACCAGCTGCAAGATCATCACGAAAAAGCGTCCCGAAAACTGCAGGCCAGTCAGCTTGGCCCCCGTGTCTGGGAAAGTCAGGGAGTAAACTTTCCAGCACACGAGAGGAGGACTGGGAGCAGCCACCACAGACCACCAGTGGCAAATCACGCTCGACCAAGGTGGCTGGCTCCTGCGAGCAGGTGAGCGGCGAGCAGCAAACCCT